CACCCTCACCCACCGACGGAAGCTAGGCTGTTGAGCGAACTCGTAATCTTCACCCACTGGGAAGCCAGCTTCATCTTCCGGAGGCGCTTGCCAAGACAATAATTTTGAGAAATAAGCGGAAACCACACGGTCTCGGCGCTCACGATATACCCGGAGGTAGCGTTCGTAACGAAGCCCAGCCACCTCGCGCACAATCTTGTTAGTCCGATTTCTCAGGCGAGTCTCCCGCGACATCCCCTCTTCATCTACGAGGTGGCAAGCGACCGTTTGCATATCCCAAACCATCCGCCGAGCCATGACACTTTGCGCAAAGGATCCATATGCACGCGTCTGATAGTAGTCAAAGGAATATGCTATGGTCTTACTGAGATCCCTCAACAGTTTTACGCGGCTTGGGTCTCTTGTAGACGGCCAGCACTCGTTCGTATCTTCCCACGCGTGCACCCAAGCTTGTGCCGGATACCAGCGACTAAGTACGGCGAGATACCGCAATCGTAACGCCGGTGACATAGCAGCTCTCTTGTCCAAGTAGTAAGCCCAATAGGCCACGGCGACAGCTGACCTTAGGCCAAAGCCGTCCGCGAAAATGCTGCTTGGCACCCAAGAGGCGAAAGACTGATGTTCATCTAGTAACCAAGGTTTAGGCAAGACACTCGTGCTGCTGTACGCTTCTCTTAAACGAGCAACCACTGCACGCGCGTGTTCCGAATTCGTCGGGTCGGACCAGAACCGAGGAATCAGCCATTCGCAAACGTCCGCAAAACAGGGGACACTTCGCTGCTCGTATTCCTCCACCGTTTCCGGAACAATGACAGCTCCGGGAGAAGGGCTCTGAGCCGGAATGAGGTTCGCTTCAAACCATTCAAGAATTCGCAGATCATCGTCAACCCCGAGAATTACCTTATCTTCATCGGGCTCGGGTATCAGGAGACGGCTTTCGAGGGCCCTAGCGACACTGTCATCGCCCACGCTCTTCAAGAAAAAGCGTCGCGCCTGCTGTCCTGGCTGTTCTGCAAGAGTCTCTAACATTGCCAGCACTGTGGTAAAGTCCCAGCAGCTCCAACCCGAGTGGCATCGAACACCCAGCATTTTGGGGGGATTTTTTGCGTTCAAATCTTGAACTCGTGACCTACATCGACACCGCCCACGACGAGTATTGCTCTGTTGACAGTACCTTGCTCGCCAGTTGTTTTGTTGTCATTCTCATCGTGTACGTGCGCAAGCACGCGCAAGCGTGTGCACGTGTGGGTGCCAAGCCACTCGTTTCGCGGAGCTACTGGTGAGTTGTCAACAGGGTTAGTAGCCATCGTGCGTGTCCGTGGTCCTGGAGGGATAATCACAAAAAAAGGTTGTCGAGGTGCGGGTGCTCGGACCTTACAGCATGAGCTCACTTGGTTATGACGGCTCAACAGCTCTCCCAGCTCGAAGTCTTCGCCTTTCGCTGTCGGTGGTTTGGTGAGCACCAGGGCATGTTTTATGGCGCTCGTCGCGTCGAGTAGGTTGGTTATGATGAACCTTTATCCCATGGAGCGAGATCCCTCTTGTGACCATCCGGGTAGCATGGGCTCTCTGCCGATTACGACTATCATCGGAGATATCTTGTGGCGCTGTGGATCGTTAGGTTGGTAGATGTACACTGGGTGCACTAGCAACAGCGTCAAGTCGGAATAGTTACCGTCTTGACCTTGGACATTATGGACTCGAGCATGCGGTG